CGTATTATTAAATCAATTTTGGGATTGTTACGCGGGTTAATAGGATTTCGCCGGCGGTACAAAACACGACGCGAAATCGCGATCGCGAGGCACATAAGACCGAGATACAATATCATCGTGTGGAGCGACGGCGGCAACAGCGCCGGTGAAATTTCATTTTCGAAATCCCGCGAGTGCGAGTCGAACAAAAACACCCGCGAAATCATGCGGCGTGGCGTTAAGAACCGCGTTCCCCCTCCGCCCCCGGAAAATCCGCGCGAGAACACGGGAAAACAATCGGCTTATCCGAGGGGACGATGATTCCGCACCCTCGCGCGAGACCTCTTTCTCCCCTTAACCTACGAGCCGCCGAGGCCGCGCTCGTTAAGTCGCAAGAGAGCGCCGAAAGCTGACGTTTACTTTCGACCAAGCTCGAGAATGGAGTCGCGACAACACCACAAGTCCCGCCATCCTGCCGCGCCGCTTGCGCGCGCGGTTATGGTAATGCGTGGTTTGCGGTGCGTGTTAGCCGACTGGTCGGCCCTCGTAATGGTAACGAGACGGTCTCTCACCATCATCATCAACATCCGGACGACGAAACGCGATGCGAACGATCAACGACTCTCGGCCGGTCGGCAAGACGCCGCGGCCCTCTCAAAGGTGCCGACCGCGATCCGCTCTCTGGCTATTTTTAACCTGTTTTCGTCTCCCTTATGCTCTCTCCTCTTTCTCTCTCTCTCTCTCGTTCGCGCTCTTTTTGTCTCTCTTACTCTCTCCCCCCCTCTCTCTCTCTCTCTCTCTCTCTCTCGGTTATATTGTGTTACTGCTTAATTCGGAGAAAGGTACTCGGCATTGTCCAAATATGAAATCCTAATTATGACTGCGAGTGGAACAAAGTGGAGCGAGGACTCTGCTTTCGTGTTTTCTGCGTCTCGCGATTGCAGGAAAGTATAATTGCATGTGAACATATTGTGCGTAGTAACTAAGTTTAAGCTTCCACAAAATAATAGGCCGTTCAACACACGCATATACCAGTGACGGAGCTTTGCTCGATATCGTAATTCCGACTGTCGTTATTCCCCCGCCCATTGCTTCAAAGTACTTATCTCGTCTTGAATACTACATTTAAGTATACCTATCGATGCATTATGTATGCATTCCTGAAGTTCTATTCTTGCCTGTATGCTTTTAGGGAACACCCAGTCCCAGAGTTATGAATAAATTGCACATTTCTCTCTTTCCCTCTGTCTCTATCCCTTCTCTTCCGTCGTCCCTCCGTGCGTGTGCATTCGCGCACGCCGCATCGGCGGAATGCCACGCATCACCAGCCACGAGAGGCAGTCAACCTCAAGAAGGAATCAGGTGTGGAACAAATGAATTCGCGACGGGGGAAGCGGATCAGCCGGCTCCTTAATCTTGCGGAAGCGAATATTTCTTTTGTCGAGGAAGGAATCGTAAAGCAGGGCATTCCTGCCCAACCGTTCGTACCTCGATGTTAAAGCGCGAGATCATTTATTACTTATTATACTTATGCGGAAGGGTAAAAGGAACCACAAACAGATTCTTCCTTGGGACGACAAAGTGGAATTTTAATTTTAGTTGTTTACGTTAAACTTGATTGATGTTAAAAATAACGCATTACTCGTGCGATACTGGTAATGTCAAAGTACCTCGTCCACATACGGTCTTTTTCTCTTTCTTTTTCCAGTTACGATACTTATGAGAAATATGAGCCACGTCCTGTTGTTTACATTTTATCATTCTTTGGAAAGTTGATATTCTAAAATTTGTCAAAGCTTTGTAAACATTGAAGTTTACTGAAGTGAAAAGCCATTTCTTTTTAATTAAACGACGTGTAATATCTTCTGATTATATTTAATACGCTTTAGAAAAATTACTAACACAGATTTACTATTCCTTTTATATAAATATTATTTTAGTCATGTATATTTTGTTTTATAGTTAATAGAAATATTTTTAAATAGACGATACAAAAGCTCAATTATTTTATTATTCTGATTAAAATTAAATCACGCAGAAATTTGTAAAATGTATGTTGTAGATAAAAAATTTAAGTAGAATTCGCTCATTTGGGAATGGAATGAAAATACAAAATGAATAAAATTACACTGATACCGGGGAGCGAGTTTTATTAATATTGCGAAACCGAGATCGATCATTCCCATGTGAAATGTTTTCAATTTCCCACTGATAATTAAACTCGCTTTTATGCGTCTCTTTCAACTTGTGAAATTGTAATAAATATATAGTGAGATAAAATTTAAATAAAAATGAGGCGATAAAATTAAATCAGAATATACATAGGAAATTATTCAACATAGAAGATTAATATTATTTAAAGAGACAAATGCACGATAATCATCATACTCGGATTAATCTACTTAATCGTATCCACTGCTAATCACACAAACCATCAGCGACAAAATCTGTAATATCAATTATTACTACTATTTTATTACCATTTTATAATCGTTTTGTTCGCAATATTTTGTTTACATAATCAATAAGAACAAAAAAAACGTCTCATTTTCCAAGATATGATAAATTAACCCATTCCAGATAAAAAAACTCTATATATCCTATATTTATTTTTATATTATTTCGTGCATAATATTTGTTAATATGTTACTTCTGTCCAATAATACAATATTTATTTATTGATTTTCTATCATATTGTAAAGCCATAAACAATCAAATAGTTCTTTATACAATAACAAAAGCAAGAACAGTCTCAGATTATGTTTCATAATTTATATTTCACTTATTTCTTGTCACTATTTCCTTATTTCTTGTTTTATTTTGAAAGTTCCTTTTACTTTTCTGTTATTCACGCCGCTTGATAGTTTATACCAGGACAAATTCTCGAATGTCAAGGTATCTCTCCTTCAAAGAAACTCTTCGATGAAAGCCGTCAAGAAGCGATCGTTTTCGCGAAGAAGGCAGCGACGGAAGTCCCGCTGCCTTGGACGTTTCTCTTTCTATCGCGTGCACCAGCAAATAGCAAAATATCGACGGATACGCAGGTACACTCGTGGATCGCACGAGTGCGCGACACGCCGCGTCGTGGCGCGGCGTGTCGCAAAAAGCAGTTCAGATCGCGGCCATTTATCTACGGCGTGATTCATCTCTTTGCCCGCGGCACACGGTATCTTTAAACGTTTTACCTGCTACCGGATTCCTTGCAGCTAGTATACGGTGTGCCAACCCAAGTAACAGCCGTCACTTTGTCGGCCTTTGTCACGGGGATTATGCGCCGGGTGGCAAATTATGACGGACACCTTCACGCCCAGGACACCCTCTAATGCGTCGGACGCGAGCAAAAGGAAAGGGAGAAAAAGAGAGAGAGAGAGAGAGGGGGGGGGGGNGGGGGGGGGAGAAAGTGAAAGAGCTTGCGGATGAGAGAGAAGGAGAGAAGGAGAGTTCGAGGGTCCTTTATATATCTTGAGTACGTGTTCCTTGAGAGAAAGCTTTAAATTATGCAAAAGTAGTTCCGTAGAGATCGTAACTCTAATAGAGGCCATTATTATCAGAAGAGAAGCATGACTAAACGATAATTGAACGCGCGATGAAGTCGGTGAAATCTACTTGTTGTAGGGAATTCATATCTCACATAATTGAAATACAAAAGTTGTTAACCGTGGTTAAAAATAAAATTAATTCGTCAACAGTCTGTTATCCGGTATCATGCGCGAATGAAAATTTATGTCATGAAGAATGCAGAAATCGACGCGTGAAAATACAGAACGGCGTGTTATTTTATAAAAACCACGAGCGCGTCGCGGGAAAATGTGAAAATATCAAAAAACGATAGGTGCGATAAATTCCGTTAGAACATCAAACGTTCGCGTCAGAGGATATTACCGTTGTGCTATATCTTCGGGTTCAAGTCGACTCTTTGACTCTTTTTTCTTTTTTCCCGATAGCTCTCGGGACAGGCTCGCGCTCAGAGCGTGACCGAGAGAGAACTACCCTTCGGCAACTCACATCACCCTAACGAATTGATTTACGGTATAATAAAGCGGTTAAGCAAAGTGGAAGCTCCCCTGAGTCCGAGTCGTCATCTTTATTTACGACCTTCTCGAAAGTTTCGATTCGACGCGGATTCTCGATATCGTCGTTGCAACGTGCCACCGCTTTCCTATAATCCGCAGTGTCGCGAAAGGTACACGGAAGGACATGCTTTCGGCTCGGCTTTAAGTTTGACGCTAACAGAGGGATTTACCCTTGCACCGCAAGTGCCTCAGCGTTGACGAACCGTGGGACATTTCCCTCTTTCGGTCTCTTTTATCTTTTTTTAGGTGATCACTTCCGTGTTCCCAAAAACGGAGCAACTATAATTTCGTCAAAACACGTGACGGTCGGTCAGTGTTTCGAGGACTACGATGTACATCTCAATATACCCCCAAGTCGGGGTGAATCCTCGCGCTTAGTGTTAGCCGTGAGAAAATACGGGCCGACGATCGATGGTCACGGTTAAATCGCGACGTCGCGTCGCGTTCCTTTCGCGGCAGCGACGCGAAGGGGAAACAGCGAGAAGTGAACTTCTCCTTTTTGTTTCCATTGCTCGGTACGGAGCGGAACCCAATCCGCCGTTTGCGGCCCATTATGCCCGATCATAATTGCGTCGCAACAACGTTTCTCCTTCCTACCATCCGCGGTGTTGGCGGCGGCCTTTCATCTCGACCCGAGACGGAGACCGAGCTTCTGTTTCCGAGGTGTTTCCGCCGGCGGCTACCGTCCTGGAAGCTGGAACTTGATCCTAAGTAGTCGCTTTCGTGAAAGAGGGGCAGGAGGCCGGGGATAAAGGAGGAAGGGACGTTGTTGCGGTAAAACGCGCCAAGAACACACCGGCGGGGACGGCAGGCGGGTGTAGGATAGAGAGGGAGAGTGGCGCCGTGGAGCTCGGCATCGTCGGCGTTGCTTTTTAAATTATTCCCACGGTTGCTCGTTTGTTACGTAGTTCGATGTGCCGGCCTGATCGACGATACGCTCATGTAAAGATGCCCGGGAAAATCCCGAGCAAGAACCGTGAGCTGTGTCGCGTTGGTTACCGGATTCGTATGATAATAATCGGGATATTACCGGGAACGTGTGATAATATCTGAATTAAATCGAACGATATTTGATTATCACACGACCATCTTTCATCGGACCGAACGAACGAGATTGTATTATCCGCGCAAACAAGGAAGCTAGCTAGATTCCAAATATATTCCTTTTGTGACACGATTATCTTACGAATCCTTTGATTCTTACGGGGGTCTCGAGAGGACCATCGTGATTTATCGATACGCCGATGATACCATTAAAGACTCGATGACGAGTATTGAAGAATTTTTCAGAAGAATCGATCAGAAAATTGCTTTACTATGTTGGCTTTAAGAAGGAGTTCCCCATTAATTCACCCGAGTTGCGCTGTGAGGAAGATCGATTAGCTAAAATTTCCGGTGGAAATAAAAGAGGTAGATGGAGCGTATCGAGATGAAACAGTTAATAATAATGAGACTTCGCGCGTGTTCCAGATCGCACTGTGCCTAGCGGTCATGGTCTTGACGACAGTCGCCGAGGACACGCCGACGAATACAGTCTGGTTTCCTTCGGATTCGCCGCCACTCAAGAGCAATGCGTTACAGAGGTTGCTCAAGCTCTTAGGGAAGTACGGGTCTGATGACCCGAGGAGCCTGAAGAGAGTGTATCTGAGCAACAGGTCGATCACTTGCAACGACGGATCGCAGGCTGGTTTCTACCTACGAAAGTCCCAGTCCTCCAAACAGTGGGTCGTATACCTGGAGGGCGGCTGGTACTGCTACGATCACACGAGCTGTAGGAACAGGTGGCTGCGGCTGCGGCATTTGATGACGTCAACCCAGTGGCCTGATACACGTGACGGTAAACTCTCGATCGCTAATTATACGACGCGCAGAGCGGAAACGATTTTCCGCTTGTGCATCTCGGAACAAGCAAGCGAGCGATCGAGCGAATTCCCGCCGGGTTATAAATTAATTAATTTTGAAATCCTCCATGGACATATTCATTCTTAAATGCGCTCGCATTTCCTTGGGCGGTATAATTTGAATACCGCATTTCCTTGGGCGGTTTGATTTTAATACCGCATGTCATGTTACATAGTTCAATGTAAAACTACGCACTTCGTCGTATGCGGAAGATATTACGACAAAATAACATCAATTACTGTTTCTTTTTCCTTATCGGACTTATGTTTTTTACCGGAACCGGTTTTTTGTCTTATAATGTTAAGAAGTTATGCATGCATACGAGTGTCCGTACATCAAAGGCACGGGAGCAACTCATTTTTCTCATTTTTTTCTTACTAAATGTTTGGAAAAAAAAATTAGTTTATTTTTAAGAGTTTTATTGTATCTGAACATGCGTCAAGACTGAGTGTAAAGTAAATCTTTAAATTCAAGTATGTAACTTTCTTGTTCTTCAAAATTCAAATTTTGTTCTTCATTGACTTTTACCATGAGATCACTGTTTTTAATCTTTTAGAGGAACGGAATAATATTATAAATCGTTACTATAATAGTAGAAATTAAAATGTTCGTGATTTTCTTTCAGTGGGCGGATTGCTTTCACCAAATGAAGATGAGAATCCATTCTGGTACAACGCGAATCACGTGTAAGTATTGCCCATCGCGATCGATTCTACGCGATCGATTCATTATCAGATCTTTTCATTAACGTCGCGGTTTTTGTCGTTCGCAGTTTCGTTCCGTACTGTACGAGCGACAGCTGGAGCGGCACCAGAGCTACGCCGGAAGGCATGTTCTCGTTTATGGGGGCAGAGGTGCTAGTCCAGGTTGTTCGAGACTTGATTCCCCTCGGTCTCGAAGGCGCGCGCTCCTTACTGCTGGCTGGCAGCAGTGCGGGCGGCACGGGTGTCATGCTGAATTTGGATCGTATTCACAACCTGGTGCACCATGAATTAGGTACGTCACGTCGTGATCGATTTATTAATCAATTACGGTCTATCAAGTAACAAACGGTTGTCGTTATTGTCCCGAGTTATTTCCCGAGTAATAAATGTCCATTAAGTCCATAAGTCCGCAATTTACGTCACGATTTCATCAGCATCAGTGTCAACACTGTCATTGTCACATTGCGAAACGTTTTATATTACTTCGTCTTTCTTGCTACTTACTGCAAATTAGTTGCAAACTCATTGCAACTAATTCTTTAATAATTGCATAAAAATTTATTGCAAATTAGTTGCAAACTCATTGCAACTAATTCTTTAATAATTGCATAAAAATTTATCGCATTAACATTAAATGAAGAATGATTAGGATCGTTAAATTATCAAGAGTCACTAAGTCTCTGATTCTATTTTTTCTATTATATTGTATAATATAATGTAAATAATATTTTGAATTCCAGTTTTTTGCAAAAGAAAACCGTAAAAAGGGTGACTGTGCAGGAAAAGACAAAAAAATCGATTTTTTCGACTCGACAAAGGTCTTGTAACCCCTTAAGTTATCAAACGTCACTCATAAAATATCGAAAGATTTTCAATTCGGACATTTCGAAGTCGTCAATGTCGAGCAATCCTTTTCTGAATTCGAGCTCTTCGATTTATTTGAAATATCTCTTAGTTGCCAGCGTCGATGACGCACGATTAGAAAATAACTGGATATATCTACTCGCGCAGGCTTGAAGCACGTCGACATACGCGGCGTGTCAGATTCCGGATGGTTCTTGGATAGAGTGCCCTACTCTCCGAACGGGCCGGCGTCCATCGGCGCGATACACAAGGGAATGGACCTGTGGAAGTCTCGGATGCCTCATAATTGCGTCGCTAAGTACCCTATCGAGCCGTGGAGGTGTTTCTTCGGTTATCGACTTTATCCGACCTTGTCCGGTGAGTCCATCCGATACTATGAAAGTTCTCGCGAGAGCTAACGCGTCGTGAGAGAGCGAAGATGCTTAAAACCTTCGTTTATTATCTTAGCACCATTGTTCGTTTTCCAATGGCTATTCGACGAGGCGCAGATGTCGGTCGATAATGTGGGCTCACCGGTGACGAAACAACAATGGGATTACATACATAAAATGGGTGACAGCATGCGGCGTACGCTGACGAACGTTACCGCAGTCTTCGCTCCCAGCTGCATCAGTCACAGCGTTCTAACGAAGAAAGATTGGAACATGGTTAAAATAGACGACATTTCCTTGCCGCAGGCGTTACATTGTTGGGAGCAGATGCCGATCGGGAATCAGCGCAACAAGTAAGTAGCCGATTGGAATGCACAGGGTCGCCGAGCGAGTACGAGATCGAAGTTGCTCGCCGAGAAAATATTTGTCGAGCCAGTTACATCGAGCTCATCCAGTGACAAAAATAAATCAACAGGACCAAGACGAAGGAGAAAATAACATTTTCCGTTCCGCAGCACTACTCGCTCGCAAATCGAGACCAATCAACCGTGCGCGAAGTCGCTAAGGAAGATGCTGCGTTCCGGTGCTAGGAAAGGAAATGGCACCTCGGTCGAAAGTGGAAGAAGCAACGCTAAATCTTCCACGGGAACGCAAAAAGATCGACCGGCCGTCGCTGGCAAAACGCAGAAGAGGAAGATGGCCTCCGACTCGAATCAAGAGCGGGAGAACAAGAAGAGACGAAGAGGGAAAAACAAAGGCAAAAGGAGAGAGAGGAACAGGGCGGAGAGGAGAATGAAGAAAGAGAAGCACGAGCGAAGAAAAGCCGCCGGTACGGTAGAGCAATGCGCAAACATGTTTTGAATCTTGTTCAGTAAGAGAGTCGACGTTCTCCAGATCGTTCGGCGCTGTTTCATGCATGAATCGGTCGGAGACTCATTTGGCAGCGCGATTTATTATTATTATGTGCGATGATTATTATTATAATAATACTATAAAACCCGTCTCAAAATTCTTCGCTAAACGAACAAATTGTTTCTTTTTTTGTTTTATAGGAGATTCCATTGTAGATTCTTGTAGGATCGTTTGCAAGAACCATTGTCTGTGCGACTATCACTCAAACGATCTCATGAAAATCTTTTCAGGACGCCGCAAAGGCGGCAAGCAGAATAATGGCAACAATCATACAGCTATGTTTAACGGCACCCGGCCGCAACGATCGGTAATACCGTCGGGCAAACGGAAGTGCGTTCAAGGCTGCCATTTCCGTTTGATCGAGCGTTGTACTTGGCCGCAATGTAACCATAGCTGTCCCAAGCTTCATAATCCCTATACGGGTGAGGAAATGGACTTCATCGAACTGCTCAAGAGCTTCGGCCTGGATATGAAAAGCGTCGCGAACGCTCTTGGTATCGACATACACACCTTGAATAGTATGGATCACGAGGAGTTACTGAATCTTCTGACGCAACGCGCGAACTAACGAAGGACATTCTGCCACAAATACACAAGGTTTCCTTGTTCGCTGTACCGATATCTCTGATGATATTTCCAAAGTCAGAACTCGATATTTACGTACAATCTCGAATGCCACGTCTGAGGTGACGTGGATGCTTCGTATCGGCGTGATACTATAGTAGCCAATATTATAGTACTTAAGTTCAGCAAGAATACACATTATTACTAGCGAGAGTGATTAAAAATGATGAAAAGTCGTCTGAGAGACCAGACAGATATAAAAAGTAAGTTGGACAGATATATAGAAAAAGATAAATAAAACGAATTGTGCCGTACTCTCGTTCTAACAACGAGAGTTCTTAAGAATAAAGGAAAATTCAAACGTTCGCGGTATAAACTCTGCGATACATCTGGATCTAATTATCGCAGTTATTTAGCTAAAACTTGAAGGAGCGTAGTATTCCTTCGAAGATTAACGGAGAGACTGCCGAGTGACTGCCGATAACTTATTAGTTACGCTCACGGAAAAGAAATGCGGGAGGTATCATTTTCTTTTTCCGTGCAACCAACAGCATTTAACAAAATAAAGTAGGAACGTTTGGAACAAAGACGTGTAACGCGACTACGTTTTACCAAAATAAATGTATATAACTTCATAGAGAGACCTGGTGCGCTTGCAGAACTCGTTTCTCAGATAAGATGAAAGCGACAAGATAGCGGAAATATCGATTGGCGTTTGTGCCGAGGAGCGAAGAAAATGAGAGTTCTGGTACGCAAAAAGTGTATATTTTATTGTAACTGTACGATTACACGAGTATACCTTAATTTATTATAGTCCGTAGGGATGAAATAATTGAATATGTAACTATGTTATACGAACTAATTCAACGTTCATGACGCGATTTCACAGCCGAAATCAGATCGGGTGGGAGAGCGCCGTCTCAACGGAACCTTCTCAACTTCGTACCTGTTCGAATGCAATGCTTTTCATTTCGATCGTCCTCCCATTGTCCTTTGTCAAAAGATCTTTTCCTTGGAACGTATTTTCCGTCAGGGTATTTCACTTTATTCGTCGCCGTGCAAATAGATCGATCGCGAATTCAATTCGCCGTATCATTTTAAGAATCTGCGTGACACGCACGAAAGACTGCACAAAGGATCTTCCAATGGTAAACGGGACTGACTTTATTTTATTTTTTTTTATTTTACGTAACGTCGAGACGGATATTCGCCAGTAAACAACGGCCAACCGACCGACGAAGCAGCTTCATAGACTGATTAAATTATCTACCTCAACGAATCAAATCGTATTAACGTCCTTCATGTACTATAATCGTCAACTTAGAACATCACGATAAGAACAGTTACTGTAAGTTCACGCGTGTAAAATATATATTGTACCTATGTCTCCAACTCTGTAATATAGCTGCTAACGTAATGTTTATTTATTTAATGTAGCATAGAATCCGTGATTGCGGCGGCGCGTATTTTTGGTCAGCGTGCGTTCATACGTACACTGATATTCGAAAGAACTTTATTTTGGGATTTAATTTATTTCCGTAAATTATAATCCTGTGTACACGAATACGATCGGAATAATAATCAAGGGTACCATACTACAAAGTTTCCACGTATACTACGTAATGCGTACTGTTATCTTCTAAAAGAGCATGACATTGTAAATAAATTGTATATCTGTTGTACACCAGTGAGACTTTACAGTTATTTATTCGTATTGCCTCAACCTACATAGACCATCAACGGAGTATAAATATAATTAATCATTTACTTCTATAAATATTTATAAAGATATTTAAAAATATATATTTTTCGCTCACATATATATTCAAGTATCTATATAAATATCTATCTTGCGCGTAAAATCTCGTAGAAGAATCTTCACTGTTGTGAAACGTCTTCATTGAGCCATGCTCCACGGTAAGTCAAATAACGCTTATATGACAACGTTTATTATGCGCGCGTGCGTGACCGACCGGTGAATACGATGTGCAGCGTATTCACGATCGGCTTACGATCCGTCGCCGAAGCGACGGCTCTACGTGCCATTCGGAATTGTCATAAAACACCCTAAAACGTCATCGATAAATCCGCCGTTACCTGTACGTAACGATTAGCTTGTTTGCTCTCACGACGCGTCCCTCCTGACACGGTGTCCCCAGCCCGCGATGTACGAGGGCGATAATTCAATGTAGAGTCTGAATCCATCCTCCCAACCGGCCGGCCGGCTTTTGCACCCATCGCTGCTTCTCCCTCGAAACTATATATTCCAGCAGCAGCGTATACGCAGGAAATGGTATTTAATGCCGGGCAGGTCAGCTCCGGGCCCGACCCTCGGCTGTATGTAGTCGATAGGACGACGAGAGAGAGCCGATGATGACGAGGGACGTGGTAGAGGTGTAGGAAAGCAGTGAAGAGAGAAGGAACGAGCGTTCTGGTCCCTCCTAGTGGCAATTGACGTGCCCGAGGAAGTGATGGAAGGATGGCACAATGTGCTTGAATGTCCCATAAGCGGGTTCTATATTAAACTGCTCCGGTTACCGGTCGTTCGTTCGACTGTCCATCGTTCAGTCACTGGGCTGTCAGCCGAGAATCACCGCCGACAGGACGGCCTGTATTCGTTTCCCGCACGATTTCCATCCCGCGAACTCGGGGCTTTCCCGATGGATGATAATGTTTGACCCGATCGAGAGGTCCTTTCGCGCGTGACGGAAGTGCGTGGCCAATCGGAAGGACCGATCGTCGTCGCCTAGCGCGCAGAGGCCGAAGCAGAAGAGACCGCGCGTTCGATCTCGTGCACAGGGTAATTTTTCACTCGCGGAGATAGCGGAGAGAGAGAGAATGAATTTTGCGACACGGAACACGGCGGTATTATCGATGACGTAGACAAATTCATCCGACCCATCGAATCAGATTAGAGCTGCTTTAAAATTCAACGATCTATAAGCTACGAAGGCAAAAGACGAAGTTTTGATGCATTTTTCGAAACTTTACCCTTCCTGTTTCTGATATATTTTGCAAATTTCAAATAAGATTGATTTTCAATTTACCGACAGTGAAAAATTATCGTTGTTTAAGGAAGGTTTTTATACGAAGGCATTGCTGTGCGTGAATTCATCGCAAATATCATAGAGACTCCGTGGAAAGTCTCATATTAATCGTTATGCTCGAAGGAATTAGAAATTGTCTGATTGGAACACGAATCCATAACAATTGCTGACATCAGACGATCGCAGTCGTGTCTTAAGATAATTTTGATCGAAACTTCTTCGCTTCAGTCATGTTGAGAGGAATTGTTCTACTACTTCTCTACGTCTTCTGTGATATTGGTGAGCATACTAATCACAATTATTGTATTTACAATATTATAATGACATTTTTGTTAAAAATGCAAAATTATGTATATTCCTAGTAGATATTTTCGAATAAATTAAAATAAAGCTACTAATTAAAACATATTACATTATAAATATATGAATAGAAAAAAGATATTTTTTATACTAATGAGCACTATCGTATACATTAATTTTTGTTTGAATGTTATACATGGAAAACATATGGAAAATATAATCTTAAAATTATTTTGTATTTTTAATCTGAATTTATATTTATTTGTTTTAAAGTTTTATTAAACGTTTCCTCAAGAATTTAGTGCCTATACTATCTGTTGTGCGTTTTACTCATTATTCCCTTCATAAAATTTAATTAAATTGTTATATGAAACGTAAGAATTAGGTAGAACTAGCTTCATTGAAATCATGCCGCTCCGTTGAAATCCAATCAAAAGTTTGTTTGTTTGAAGGATATGATCGATTAATCTTTCTTTCTTTCATGAGAGACATAATTCGTTCCTTCCCCCCTCCCCTTCCCTTCGCATAACGTCTGTCAATTTATCGTATTTTTAGCATTGGCAGCGCATTGCGGAAAAGTATGGCTCACGGTTTCCTCTTTATGGAGACCAATCCTTGGCAGCGACAAAATGGTCGATGCCGAATTGGAAGTAAATTGGGAACTAGATTGTCCGAAGGAAATAGGATACCCAGATACCATCAAGGTGTTCACTGCTGACCCAGCACATAGTAATAAGTTTTATTTGCTTCTCTTGCGTGACGTATACCACTACTAAGAATAATTAAGAAACGAGGTCTGTCGCGAATAAATCGCTGCCTATTTTCACCTAGAAAAATATTACATATTGGTTATGGGACGTAGGATGTTTTCTCAACAAAGTTACAAATTACTGATCTCTCAAATCGCTCTCGTATTTCGCTGATTGCTTAAATACAAATCGTCAGCTTATGCGCGTTAAAAGCGCTTCGAGCTCGTCATTAAAACTTCGCTAAGCGCTGGTCGCTTAAGTCTCTTCCACCTATCGCGTTCAATTTGAAAATACTGATCCGTTCGGAATGGATCCCTCGACAGTTTTGAATCGCTTCCAATCCGATTTATCTTATAGAATGAATCATCGCTAAACCGAACGCGAGCCCCTCAATCACTTTTTCCTCACTTTTTCATCGTAAATCTATCGGACTTCGGACGTTGAAAAACTTGTGAACGCGACCACTGACCTTATTTTTTCAGACAAAACGCTGAAGCCTAAATTGATCTTGACTTCTTTACAACATCCCCGTGGATATTATAGGACAAATATCACAGTCGGTCGTCCGCCGCTACCGGGAGGATGGGACACGAAGGACGGAGCAACCCTTTCGGGACCTCATTGCCTCAAACATCACGCAGCACTTTACAAAGACGATATTATGTATGCCAGTTCTTGTTTGAAAATCTGGCCGTCGTGGATGTACGATTTTAGGTATCGTGATTTCCGATACATATATATTAAAATCGCTATTCTCTTAATGTTTATTGTTATGTCACATATTATTTTTTTAAGTTTAAAAAATTCATTAGTAAGTAAAAAAATAATTATATTAATGCTCGGATGTGGGACAATATGGAGACGGTGGAATATTTATGGGTGTGTTCGTAGAAATGAACGAGTAAAACGCGAAGCCTGACAAAATTGACAAGTGATGTTTACAAAGATTCGTAAAGCCGAGAAAGAGTTGATTACAAGTATCAATCTACTACACAAAGAATGAAAATATTACTCGTCCGTAATCACTTTTCATCTTTTATGCTGATTTGTCGATCGATAGTAACAGTGTGCGAATTGTTTCGTGATGATAATTAATATGGAAGAAATATTTTGTTATCTTGCCCAAGGAGACAACTCGGCAGGCTTCCTATTGGGAGTCTGATGATACCCGGGACGCATAATTCCGGCTGTTACAAGCACGGCGACCTAACGCGAAGGGACGCCTTTCAGCGGTACTTGCTGACGCAAGATCGCGACGTATGGACGCAGTTGGTGCACGGCATAAGATATCTGGATATCAGAGTTGGATATTACCCGTCGATACCGAATGGCACCGCTCTCGACGAGGAGGGCGACCAAGTAAGTAGATTCTGGGTCAACCACGACGTCATTCGCATCACACCTCTTTTGGAGATCATAAAGGACGTGAGGAACTTCCTGGACGTGACGAGGGGCGAGATCGTCGTTATGGATTTTCACAGGTAAGTCGCGCGATTTTACGAGATTCATCGTATCTGGGATATACAAACATATGCATGAACGTTTTAAATCCGCGGTTATCCGCCGTGTTCGCTTTAAATATAATTCACGTTATTGGCTTTGCAATTCAGCCAAATAGAATAACTGTCAAAAAATCACGTTTAGAAGAGGATTATTACAAAAACGTTCTGCGTATAACGTTAATTAAACCGCAGTCCAGTCCCAATTACTTTTCCAACGCGATTCAGTATGTAAAAATAATAAAACAAAAGATATATCAAAAGTTAAGAAATAGAAACAATATTTGTCTTCTGGTACTGTTCGTCATAATGTTAACTTGTTGATAAATATACATAACATAATATAAGTATATAAATAGAATCTTGATACGAGAGAGAAGCAAATAAAATATAGAAATTATAACTTCTAAAAAACACAGGTTTCCCGTGGGCTTGGAAGGTAAACCAAACAGACATAGGAAACTGGCAGCTATTTTACATCGAGAGTTCGAAAATTGGATTCTGAAACCAGATATAGGAATCGATGGTCTGGGACCGACGTTGAATGACATTTGGTCTGCCGGAAAGAGATTAATTATTTGTTACGGCGACAAGCATACAGTAAATGGTAAGAAGTTTTCTATCCCACTTTTTAGTGTAAAAGAGCATTTATAAATATTCTTTTAATTGATTGTTTCGACAAAAAGTGAAAATTTAGTTGAACATATTTTTAAAGAATTATTTAAAAATATCTCAATTACCTCCGCGACAAGCGTCAACTATAATCGACCAAAGCAAAAGTCATTTTAGTCAAGTTCAAATAAAAAATAAGTTTTTTATCAGTTTTCAGGACGCAAATTTAATACGTTAGAGCCGTTTAACTTTCAATCGTTTGTAACCATCAATCGTACGACCTCATTCAATTCTCTTTAATTTAGAATACGACTGGCTGTGGTCACCCTTGACGCAAGTATGGGGCAATCAACAAACCGTGGAGGGTCTATTCAAGTACCTGGACGAAGTGATTCTCGAGCCCAAAGCACCCAGGAATAATCAAAATCCCCTGTGGGCGGTAATGGCAGAACTGACGCCGTTTCCGCTGGATATTTTCTTTAATCTGTCCGGCGGACTTCGGCAAATGGCCGATTCCGTTAATCGAAACCTCACTGTTAAGTTTCAAACGAAGTGGTGGAAGGAAACGAACATCGTCGCTACGGACTTCTTCCTTGGCAACAACTTGATCGATGTCTCGATACAATCGAACATAAAGAAAAGCAACGTTGCGCAATGGCGTTTGTAGTTCAAAGAGAGCGAAAAAAATTTGTTTCGGGGTAAAACAATCGCTTCTATCAAACCTTCATAAATTACATCGAAACAAATACGATGCGTATCAAAATCTATTGATACGAATTTATACGGTCACTGGTGATTTGTAGGCAATTTATGAGAGAAAGAAAGAGAGACGCAGGGTATTGAATTCAGTCGTCTATTATGATACTATGTTGCGAAAAAATGTTAGTAAACAATAACACTACTTGTTAGCTAGCGGAGAGTATCAATGCGAGCTTCGGCACGTTTACGAATATTTGTACTTTACAACGCAAGCTCTATCGATTTAGCGAATAAAAATGTCTTTCAAGTCTTTCGTGTCCGCAGAATTCACTCGAATACGTTCTGCGTAAATATACGAAAAAAAAAAATAGCTCTCACAGCTAAGAATTAGTTGTCCATATAATATAATACAACTGAAATTTAGTTAATTTAGCTAATTTCTTTGTCCTTGTACTTAGTATTTAGCTTCCACAGTTAAAAACTAGGTCTGGCAACTAAATTTTCGTTTAGTATTATACGGACAGCTAATCTTCTTTTTCCGTGCACATATGGACGTATAAATTAGCGAACGATGCATTTCGCTGAGTAGTATTAATATATAACGGCAGTTATTTCCATGTAATGGAAAACTCGCACCACTTCGGATTTGTTTTAAACTTCTCATTCTCGCACGAGTTATATTCGTCTCGATAAGAGTATTTTAAACCCTCCAACTCTCATTTCCCACCAAAAGCTATCGTCCTGCGCTTTCAACGTTGCATTATTCAATGCGCAGTGTATAAGCCGCGACGATTTTTACTACAGAAACAACTAGATATCTACAACTAGAGACGGGAAGCAAGGTGTTTTTGTCATTAAAAAAAATATGAATATCAATGTATTTTTATAGCTGCACGAGTGAAATAAAAAATCTGAATTTTAAATCGGCAGATATATATGTAGATATATACGTGCTATGTATGTAGGATTCAAATAACCATACTGCTTAAAGGACTATGCGGTGGAGATGTGATTTTTCCATCTTGATGCAATTTTGGTAACTGTTTCCCGCGTACGTTTGTGAATGCTTATATTCGAGGCAAGACACGTTCGGCGACGCGAGTGCCCGCGTTTAAACTTTCCCGCTCACCTGCGCATCGGATTACCTATCGCCCGTTCCGAGCATTTGACTTGCTAATGAGATCTCCGTCGGTTCAGACAAGATCACGGATACCACATTACCAGTAAGTACATAGCCAGTAGCGTGCCGGTTCTCCTTACGGACGCGAAGGGAACGTTAAGCAGATAAGGTCGCGAAACAATGCTGGCGAACGCGTCTGCAAACGAGGCGAAAGACGAGCTATGGGCTATATACGCCTGGTGGTCGTGCGTGCTCGTGCTGAAGATGATGTCGCTGACCTGGTTCACCGGGCGGGTTCGAGTGGAGAAACAGGTAAAACTCGCGGATATTCTGTAATTGCATGCGCTTCTTCATCGTCGAGTCCATCGGTCTGAATTCTCACGATACACAATCGGATGTAAATAAATAAAGTGAGAATTGCGAGTGTGAATCACACACGAGAAGCTACATGTAAGACCGTGGAAAATTTATACTCCTTTATTACTATTGTGAGAAAATGATAGCACAATACTATAAATCAAAAAGCAAAAAGCAAGAAGCAAAACATAGCACAATGATATAAATCAAACCACGATAACTAGACCAACGCAATCATGTTACGAAGAATTGGCCGCAAAAACAAGGCAATTCTTGTCTTGTCCTCTACATATTAATATATCATGACAAAGCGTAAAGACACAACCGGATTTCTTGCGAAACCTACTAATCATCGAACATTAAGAACTGTGCGATCAACAGTATAAAATGTTTAATAAGCATGTACGCATGAATTTGTTTAATTGAAGACTTGCGCTATTTGTAATTATTATAGCCGATAAGTACCACGTTCAATTGTAAATCTTATGGTATTAATTAGAAAAAAACTGATATGACAATTTCAGTTAATTAATGCTTGTGAAAATAAATAATGCATAATATCATCGTGATAAATATAAATAGTTCAAGGAGTGATAAATATAAATAGTACAAGGAGTGAACTCACGAGTTAGTATAAGGAATGAACTCACCAATTTTCTGCTGTCCATTGCATGTCGGTTGAAACTGTAAATAAACACATTTATACGATTATCTTTCTCGTAGAACACGATCTTTTTTTGAATATATTGTATCTAATTTTTATGTATTAAAAATAATAGAAAATTATGTGAGTGTATTTCATTCATGAGAAACCTTATTCATTAGTCAGACAGTCAACCTGTTTATATTGTTATTCAATCGAAGCTGACAATCACCGGAAGCTATTTCTTCTTTGCAATCAGCAAACATAACTAATTACGATCACGCACGTCAATTGACGCGACACTCGATTCGTTACTGTCGGCGTTTATTTAAATACATGGTGCGATCACTTTGCACGAATAAATAACGCGAGAAATTCGATCGCGCGAAACTTTATTCGGCAATCTCGCGATGTTCATTAATAGCGCGATAATTATGGAGTTAACATATTCACCCGACCAAGTTTCAACATTCCCGATTTTCGTTAATGGCGCGATAATTATAGAATTCAAATATACAACCGAACGAATTTTGACACTCTCAACGCGAAATACGTGTGACATATTTGGGATGCTTAAATATAATATCGAGAGTAGATACGCCGGCTACAAATTACGAAAACCGCGATTAATCGCAATAGGAAACGTTATTTAGCATTATAATAATTGCCTGATGTTATTCCTGATACTTCTGACATTACGAATGCAACGCAAGAGATTACGTGATACATAAATAAAGTATTGATTAACAACTGATTGTTACCATATACCGTTGATTAGTACAGAACAAGAATTGTTTGTTAATAAGTCAATACTTCCAGTACTATCGGTATGTCAGTAAATGATTATCATTTCATTTCTCTCTTGCTATGTAAAACCACATATACGCATTACTTTTTAGTCGAATCATAATTGTAAACATTTTTTCCAAGGACATTGAAAAGTGAAAATTAAAAACGATTATATGCATTAGCTCAAATGGCAACGATCATGTGATTTTTTTTTTAGAAATTTCCTTTTTCATGAAATAACGATTTTTTTCACGAAATAACGATAATTGCTGAATGATTAATGTAAAATCTGAGACTGAATGATATATAATCTAAATAATCAATAATATGATATAATCATTAATAATACAACTGTCTCTGAAGATAATCTATTATTTTTCCAATAAAATTCCAATAAAATAATTTCAATTACATATATATGTGTGTGTGTGCATGTTTTATCTGTAAAATCTCTAAAACATAAAATTCCATCCATATTATTTCACAAATAATTATAAATTATTATGAAATTTTGTAGCTTATACATAAAATACTGGTGAACTTCTCGATTAATCATCCGCAACCCGAATGTAATTAAATCACGATTCCCCTTCGCAGTAAAACGTTTGAATTATCGCACCTCGAAACGTAACGCGGCGTGTACGCAGATTTAAGATGCAAATGAAATCGATTCCGAAAAATTCCGAATTAAATTTGGCTGCAAACTCAAAACAGAGATCTTTCCCTTGATCGCGGCGCTTCATCATGTATGACGTATGCAATAAAATAAAAATGAAAGGTAGAATAGCTTGTGCGCGGAATAAAAGCATTCGCGAGCGTGCAGTCAATTAAAACCTATTTCATTCGCAGTAGAATTTTCAGTAGGATGACGAATGGGACGTTTGTTCGAGATAAATTTTCACGCCTGATTCAGACCAATCTCTTGTCCCGCGCGATTTTCCTTTTCATTAAATTATTATTGTAAAAAGAAATCGTCGTACGTAGAAGTTACGGGGAAATAAATCTAGTTGTTATTTTTTCTCCGTGACGAAGAAACTTGTCATCTACACACGGACTAAATGAAATTCAAAAGTCTAATTGGAAGTCTAATTTAATCGGTTTTTGTTTGTGATTTGACGCTTAGGTGATTCATAGCGAAGAGGACAGGATATGGATGCTCAAACCGGACGTAATCTTATGCCCAACTGGCGATGGCCATCCTGACGTGATTCGCATCCGGAGTGCTCACAGAAAAGATCTCGAAACTATTCTTATTTTTCTAGTCTTCTCGCCGCTCTGGCTGAACATCGAAACGTGCATTTCCACAGTGAAGATCTTAATACCAAGCTTCTCGCTAAGCAGTATATTCTATACCATACTGCATATGCAACTCCTACAAATGCCACCCTTCTACAAAGTTGTATTATCCACGACTATGTTTCTTATCCTGACTTACATATGTGCGCTCGCTACCGTGAGATACATATTTATTATCGCGGAATATAAACTCTAATTAAAAAGATGTAAGCAAGAAAAAATACTCGCGACACTGATGCATTCCATGACAGATATTTTATATCTTATATATAAATAAAAAAATTATATATAAAAATAATTTTATATCTTATATATATTTAATATTATATTTGATACGTCTTTGATATGTCATACTTATTCTGTTAAAAAGCTTTTCTCAAGCTTCCTTAACATTTCTTTTGAAAATTTACTTTTTCATAAGAAAGAATGATTTGATCAACTAAACTATGATCAAATTTATTACACAAATCATGTATCATATTGTATCGAATGAATATGAATAAACAAAGGTTTTTCAAAAGAATATAAATTTGCATTAACTGTGCCACTTATTTACTTTGTCAATTAATGAGTTCAATTACGGAAGCATAATGAAATATCTGCAAAAATAACATAAATATTTCCTTATTTAAATCGATATACTAGATATCGAAATAAATCATTTTTTTCCTTTGCAATATATTTTACGCGTAACTATACATATAAATAAACGTGTATAGTGGTGTTTAATTGAAATGAAATTTACTTTTATATTGCTTCTTTTATTTTAAATCTAAATTTAACTCAGATAAAATGAAACAATCGATAACATAAAACTGTGCATTATTATCTCATCGTGTATAATTCACATATTCATATGAAGGCACATATGAATATGAATGCTGTCATTCGAGATTACATAAAACTTGTCTCGACATTAATTCTCCGTCTATAAAACTGATGTAATTTTATGATATTGATCGTTAATTAATTTTGTTTTTAATGTAAATCAGTTNTTGCTGATAAAAGGCACTATATCTAATTCTTATAGTTCAACATGATTAGATATAGATTTTTATATCTAATCATGTTGAACTATAAGGAATAAGCTTTATCTCTTGTCAGAAATTAAATTAAAGGATAATCAGAAAAGATGATAGTAATGATTATGAAATAATAATAACATAACTTTCTTATGTATACATGTTAAGAAGTGCATAATAAATGTGTGAGTCTATAACTTATATTTGATTGAATGTATGATTTACAGGAAACAGAGTACAAACAATGTGATTGCCCTTCTTATTGGGGTTCGTATTAGGATTCGTATTAGGATTAAACACTTCTCTTATAAAAATATTTCTAGATGTGATGATTTGGCTAATGATAAATAGTAATTTTATTACTCGTACGAGTGATAAAATTACTCAGCAACAATAATTTATTACCGACCAATGTATTACAACCTGTAATGTTGTCCTGTAAGGGTTATCTTGTCGTTTTTAAATTCATAAAATTGATCAGAAAAATTGATCAGAAAAACATGTTGTGCGAAAATTTATAACATATTCCATTCTTTCCAATGTATGTTCTATACATATTTTTATATTTTTTTAAGTATTTTTATATTGTTTGTATAATATCTTAAATTAGTATGTTCGTTTAATATCTATTGTTTGTATAATATCTTAAATTAGTATATTAGTATTAGATTAAAAATGCACTTCTTACAATGTATACATACTCAATTAAAAGGTTTTGAAATGTTGTCTGATAATTACGTAACAAATACATATATAATATGATACATCATAAATACATGATAGATATATAACAGAAAGAGAAACGGAAATATGACACATTATTATATAGAAATATGATTGACGTCACATCGATACAATGCCACTGCGTAAACGTCTAATAAATTCCTTCTTTTTATTAGACGTTTTATTTTTTATTTAATTTAATGGATATGAATCACTTCGCAATTCTTATAAACAGTTCTTGTAAGCTTATCATTTTTTGTAGTCTTTTTTCCAGATGACTTGTAGTCAATAACGACTTATTTCTAAACGGTAATGGTAATAGCTTGATTCGTCCAGAGATGGAGTGCATATCTGCCAGCTATGTTCGCATTAAGTCTTCAGCAAGCCGACCGATTTGACGTCAAATAGTTGGGTAAGTCATTAGAAATAATACAATTTTAAATGTCAACTAATTACGAGGCGAATTTCCAGTTAGCACTGCGTTTATAATATTCAATTGCGAATAACGTTATTTACTTGGTGAAGTGGTTAATATTGATACTTTTTGTACTATCGAAAATTTAAATAAAATTTCAATTATGAAAAACTGCAATCCTTCGATCTATCGATACTCACCGACAATTTATTCGGTGGATTGTAGACGCACTAACGCGAAGTCCAGCTTGCTAGAACACGATGATTACGCTTCATGTTCCCAAGTGACACTCCTAATGATATTTCACGAGTAAGATCTCGTTCTGGCGAGTCGAAAATGCAACATACACTTCAACTTCAAATTGCCCCGATATGACGAACACGCGAAACTTTATTCGGCACTCACGACAGTTCTGTTCCGCGAGACAGTCCCTTATTCAGCGGTTTTTTAACAGAATTTTGCCACGAAAAACGCGCGGAACTTACTTTCGGCACTCCCGACCGATGATTCGCGCGCGAAATTCATCTCTTACGAGCGACAATCGGAACAGCTTTCCGATGTTGTCTCGTCCGCGCCATGATGCATTTTCAAACTGAACCTAGCAACGATTGAGATTCTCGAAATCTTCAAAATGGCCGATGAAAACAATTTTCTCGATTATTGTGGTTCGTTTATTCACTAAAAAGCGCGTGATTCACAGCAAGCAAAGTATGAGAGACAACTTTGATCAACGTAACGATTTTAACAATATTAACGATTTGGCGACGGGAAACGCTCGATACTATCGTCGGTTTGTCCCATGAAACATTTGTTTTCGATGATTTCGTAACGGTATCTTGCTGAGACCAACGCGCATAAAACTTATATTTGACACTCCCAGCGATAATTTGAGCATTACCCTCCAACAAGTCGAAAGGATATAATATAGTAGTCATTTGAACTGCCAACCGTAGCGCGATAAACGCTCGAAACTTTATTCGACACTCTCGACAGGACCGTTCCGCGAGATATTCACTCGCGACAGTTTCTTAACGATATTTTACTACGACAAATGTATGACAAACTTACTTTCAGCACTCCCGGCGATAATTCGCACGTAAAATTTGCTTTCGGTCAGCCAGAATTGCGTAAAGCCACGGAAGGGTTTCTCATCGCCGTCTCGTTCACGCCATGATACATTTTAAGACTGAACTTAGCAGCGATTGAGATTCTCGAAGTTAAATGTGACGATCGTACGATGCATACTTCTATACTCAAAATCTTGTAAACCGAAATTCGCAAAATCTTGCCGGTTTTTGAATATATTTGACTATAATATCGTAGGCAAATTGTAAAAATCTAATGGAAAAATATTCAATATAAACTAAATAGTGTATTTTAAGATATAAATATGTATCATATAATGATACATGAATCTGTCTGTCGACTTCGGTAGTCTTAAAGATTAACAAATTTTTCAGATGCATCTCTTTACGCATGCGTGATGAGTCTTATGCGCATCGCTGTTTTATTTTCGAACCTCATTGCGCGTATGTCATCTCTGAGGTCTTGCGTGACAGTCACGATGAAAAATAATATTAAATATTTCCAAGTATCTCGTATATTTACGATAAAATCATGTTTACAAAACCAAGTGGATATCTTTTCAAAATATACGTGAAAAAATTATCACCATTCAAATCTATACTCGCTTTTTGAGGTTAGATAAGTGTCATATATTGTCATATAATGGTCGTTCTTATTGTAAAAATACTAATAATGTGATTTTTAGATGGTCGCAGTAATCAACAGCGATTAGTCATCATATTTGGTCTACTCCCCTATCTAATTGCTGAGCATATTCACTCAGTAGGCAAGTAAAACTGGAGTTGTAATCTATATTGAATACTGTTTGTGATCACATTTAACTGAAGAATTGTGGTATATTAAATTTATGATCATTGTTAGGGCCTTATCATGAGCAATTGTAAGGAAACGATGGAGCTGAAAGAGGATCATGGCAGAAAACAATCGTACTATAGATTTTGGCGTAGTATACCTGAACGTATCTCCAGAGGTATAGAGCATTTCTTCTATCTGTAAGTATTATATAAAATTAACTAATTTCATAATATACTCTTTGATTTTGTGATAAAGGCACTTTATAGGATAATACTTTTATTCTTTGTACAGGCTTGGAACAAAAATTGCTCGAAATCCATTAAAATGGATGCTAGGATGTTCTGTGATTATATTAATCTGCATCTTGGGTTTATTCCGTTTTCGACAAGAAAAAAATCCGATAAAACTTTGGAATCCTTCAGACGCAGAATTTGTATTAGATACTGAATGGCTAATGTCACATTATGAAGAAGCTTTAAGGATTCAGACATTTATTTTATCTGGTAATAATGTCTTAGAACCGCAAACACTTATTAAGGTAATCATATGATCATTTTGTATACATTTTTGTTACATAAATTAATATATAAAATATAGTGAATATAGTGAATAATTATAGTGACGTATTGATGTTACTAAACACAAATTTTTATATTTATTATATTCTGTTGTAGTTAAACGAAATAACTAAAGAAATGATCTCTGTTCAAACAACCGAAAAGATTTTTTGGACTGATGTTTGTATGAAGTAAGTGAAAAATGTAAAATTTTTGTTAGAATCACTACGTATTTTATATATGTTTCTTACATTAAAATAAATCATTTAATAATATTTAATTCGTCATTTAATAATTCATTTAATTCAATTTTGTAGACATTTTTTTTTTTATTGTTTGCTCATTATAAGTAAAGTTTTGACATATTTATCAAATAATCTAACTGGTTAAGGTAATTATATATTGTTATGGAAATATTTATTTACAGAGTTCCTACCATTTCTACCTATGCTACTAATAGGCAGAAACGACAAAACTCTTTCTTTGAAGACATTTTCTTCGATGATGATCTCTTCTCAAAATTAAACGACTCGACGTTTGAACCTGTCATTCATTTCAATACTGAACTATATTGCGATGTATTGAATAACTTGCCTAAGTCTTGCCTTATATTTAGTATTTTAGATATATGGGATTTTGATAGTGCTAAAATTGCGGAAGATACAACAGATGAAATTATTGAGAAAATAAATACAGTAAAAGTTAGTCCTACACTGGGACATCCTATGAACTTCAGTGAGCTTCTGGGAGGCATAACTCTAGACGAAAGAGGTAGAATTGTTGCCGCAACAGCTATAAAGACGGACATGATGGTTCATGTTAATTTCCTTGATGTGGACATGGATAAAATAGGAAACACCGCGGGAACCGCTGATTGGGTATGGTAAGTCCGTGTCAAGGCCTGAATCATAATATCTAAATATATTTAAATATATATTTAGCTGCGTTCGGAACTTGTGTTATCAGCGCTAGTGCATCACTTTTTTTGTCTTCGTCGCAAATTAGATGGTTAACAAGTTAGTTTATTTTTTCTAATTAATCTAGTTGTTCAAACAATTTACATACACATTGAAATTTAAAATATACGTACGAAATTCTCATGTTTCACTGCATATAAATTCCTTGAACTAACTTTCTTGAGTTCAGCTAAAAGTTCTTGAGTTCAACCAAAGAATAATATGATGCAATGCCGTTGAAAACACCATGAATGCAATCTTCATATTATACAAAATTGGAATCCTTATTATAAATTAAGATTTATCTTACTACTGATATGTTTGAAAGACATTAAAAGGAAAATAAAGAAGAAAAAAGAAATATACAAAATTATCCCATCTTTCTGAAGTTTTTTCATACTGTGTATATATGATTTAGGCCTTATATTATTTTCATTAGATTTCTGCGAAGAACAGATTATGTAAGATTGCTAAAGTATAAATTATAATGTCAATTGTCAAAACATAATGTTTATTATTACACACATACGCGTATGTGCTTATGTATATATATTATATTATTTATAAGTAATATTATTATTTATAAAATCTCTTCTTTATTGAAAAATTAAAAATATCGAAATATCATTGTTGTAATATTTTACATGAATTATATACTTTCCGATAATTTTTTTTTGGTGATAATCTGCTCTTCGACAGGATTATATCAATTTCAGATCATTTTAACGTCATATTGATTACTGTATTGAATTTTTAAAGATACGATATTCCCTAGAATCCTCTAAATATTTTTTTGTGGGGAATGTTGAAAAACATTGTTTATGATAGTGTCCTAACTACACTGGAGAACATGAGAGAGCACATTTTTTATGCGACTATAAATGATAGAAATGATACTATTTATGTATCATATTCAAAAACGCATTGAAGTCGGAGGACGTCATTTTGAACACCTCCTTGAATAAATTTTTGTTTTGAGAAGCATAAATGTTTGACTTTTCTGTTTTTTTCAAACATACATAATTTTCCATGCTCAAGGTCACTTAAAGGTCATGTCATAAGTCGCTGCTCAAGGTCATGTCATAAGTTGCTGAATTCCTCTCGATGTTGGCTATAAATTCGCACAAACAACAAATAATTGCTATTTAAAAAAAATTATTTTGTCTTGCAAGTCTATGAAAAAAATTATCTTGAAAGAAACTTTGTCTTAATAATTGAACTGTGCAACGTTTTCCTTAGATTTCTTCACATCATCAGAAACAAATAAAATATTTAAGATGTCCGATTTAAGTGAATCACCTTGTAAATGTTATTATATTTACGTCTGCGAATTGTTTGCTCAGAACCTCACTTTAAATTCATAACATTAATTCAACTTCATGTAATAAGTACAAAAATATGACAGATTAATTCACAACAAATTCGCTTATTTACACTTAGGCAACAGAAGATGTGCTGAACTGGGAGTCCGCTTACCTGGAAGCAGCAAAAAACATTTCAGACAAATTGCAACACGAGAGAAACGAAAATACCTCGTTGGTATTTTATTATGAGGCTGGCAGAAGTTTCGGAGATATTAGCGGAACATCCATGTTTCAAGATATGGATAAACTGGCTATAGGAACTATGTTAATGTTTCTTTATGTCTTGACGATTCTATCGAAATCGAACTGGGTAGAGTGGCGAGTACGTTTCCACAATACAGTTATTTTAATGAAAATTCGCTGCTTCCAGTTATTAAAATATTTTCACTTTTTTTACAGTTTTATCTCACTACTATTGGCCTTATGTGCGTGGGCTCTGCGTTTATACTCGCGGTGAGTTTATGCTCACTATTCGGGGTCCCTTACGGTCCGGTACACGCGTCTTTACCTTTTTTGCTCTTGGGTCTCGGAATAGATGATATTTTCGTATTTATGGCGTCATGGAAGCAGATACATACCGACAAGTCAATCTTAGATAAACCATTGACTGAAAAAGTCGGAATAACTTTAGGTCATGCTGGTTCTGCTATCACCGTTACTTCATTTACTGATATCGTGGCATTCTTGATTGGTGCTTGTACAGTACGTATGACATTAATTTTATAATGTACAAAAAAAACATGATGCACATTAGGCTGCGTTTGAAAATTCTACTCGGCTGGTAGAATAGACTAATCAAGATAAAAAGAGTAAAGATTTCTTTATCATGATTGATTAATTAAATATTGCCTGTCGAGTAGTTTTTAGGTTTTCGAATGCAGCTTTATTGTGTGACCCATTCATGAATTTAATTTCTGTTTATGTTTGACTTATCTATCTTACCGTTATGTTTCTTTTCTAACGTTTCGAACTTAAGGCTCAACTATCTCGAATTAATAAAACTATCTAGAATTATGAAGCAATTATGTTTTTCAGGGAAAACTAAAAAATAAAGCTATTTGCCGCAAAAAACATTTTTCGCCTGTGACGTCATAAATTAATATAGTTGCCGAGAGATAGTCGAACTTTAAATAAGGAAACAATCTCTGCATATTTAAACAAATATAATTTTAACATATTATTATATTATTAACATATTATATTATTGCGTCTGATTCTGCTAACATTACAGAAGAAATACTGTTTTTACATAAATAATGTATAATTAGATTCCATAGACACCAACAATATTTCTGTTTTTAGATATTACCATCGCTTCAGTCGTTTTGCATCTACGCCGCAGTTGGTGTACTTGTAACGTATCTGCTGCAAATTACCTTTTTCGTCGGCTGTTTTACTTTGGACACTAAGAGAATAGAGAAAAAGAGAAGTGGGGCGTTACCATGCATAGTGCATGAAAAATTCACGTCTGAGTTGATAGATCCGAGCAGTACAATTTCTTGGAGATTTATAAACGTTTTGTACTCGCGTGTGATATTTACTACGATTGGGAAAGTTGCTATCGTATTAATTACAATCACAATGATGTCTGCAGGCGTGGTGGGTACTGTTCAACTGGAACAATGGTTCGACCCCCTTTGGCTGTTGCCAAAAGAGTCCTACCTGAATCAGTATTCCCTTATTGTGAAGCAAAACTTTCCCGGTCATGGATTAAATTCTTTCGTCGTTATGGGAGACGGTGTTGATTTCCCTTCTGAAATGCCTAAGATAATATCTTTAACAGAACGTTTAGAAAACGCATCTTTCGTTCAAACAGTAGAGCCATGGCCGATTGATTTTGCGAGATTCGTGTCAACGTATTATAAAACAGGTTACTTACTGAAATATATTTATTTGATCTGTTCGTCTTGAAAGTGGCAAAATGTTGATATTGAACGTATTCTAAAAACTGCAATAATTCAAGTCTAAAACTTCTTGAAATGTATAGCACAGGAACGACTTTATGTCACTTTTGAAACGAACTGTTCGTTTGTCGATAAAATAATTTCGCAAATTAATTCGACAATGTTTCGTTTTTGTTAGATTTAAAGACCACGACAATCACAGACAGCGAATTTCATAATTATTTGTCGAAATTTCTCGTTAGTCGAGCCGGTGGCAAATATCAAAGGAATTTCTTCTTCAACGACACGTTCACGTGTGGTAGAAACACTCCACACATCACTATTGCAAGCATCGACTTTAAATTCAAGACCTTTAAAGGTCCTCACGAGTGGATACCGGCGATGGACGATAGTAGACACATAGCAAAAGAAGCGCAAATTCATGGATTCGTAACGGTGTGGTGCAAATTTTTCGGCCCGTGGACTAGCGACAAACTGATCTCTCAGGAAGTAATACGAAACGTCTTACTGGCATTAGTCTGCGTCATAGGTACCACGGCTATCGTCATCGCTGAGTTGCAGACCTGCTGGTGGATTCTGCTCTGTGTACTTCTCACCTTGCTAGACGTTTGTGGCTTCATGTATTTCTGGGGATTGACGATAGATATAATATCTTGCATCGGTGAGTACATTTTGCATTTTACGCATTTTGCATTGTACTTCGCATCGTGGTTTCGTCCTAGTACCTGAGTACCTGAGAATAAAAACACCGTATTCACCAAAGAGTATTCATTCAATTTCTCGTAAAGCTGTGAAATAAGCTCACTTTTAAATACTATTGAATATTGACGTATTTTATAAGACTCGATTATCTTGGGCAGTGAGACTGATTTGGTTACAGGCGAAAAATGACATGCAGTAAGTTTTTTGCGGTATATAGCTTTATTTTTTAGTTTTCCCTGAAAAGCAGTTTCGTAACTCCGAAGCCTGTAAAATGTGCGGTAAACTGAGACATACGTCCGATATGTTATGTAAAATTGCAAAATAATTCTTGAATAGGTCATTTTTTAGCCGTCTCAGCTGTTACGGTCGCCATAGCATTTTTTTGCCGCATATTTTATAAGTTTTAGAGTTACGACATTACAACTTTTTCAGGCAAGACAACAAAGCCATGTGGTTTTTGGTCATTTCAGGCTAAACATAAAGCTATATGCTGCAAGAAATTTACTGCATATATGTCATGATTTCTGATCTATGACATTATAAACTAATATAGCTACCAAGAGATAGCCGAGTTTTAAGAACAAAACCAAAAATGTATGATACACGTGGATCCTTTTCATCCGTCGTTCGTAAAGGAAGTCTTCTTTCTGCTCGAATCCTCTTCTGTAGTGTCGATCAGTGCACTTGACGTTGGCTGCTTTGCTTCAATGAGTAATCTTTCGCAGGTCTCGAACTGGGCATTGGTCTCAGCGTTGACTACGCCGCGCACGTAGCGCACGCCTTCCTAAATACTGAATCGCATCAGGACGACCGCAACGCTCGCACAACGCGAGCGTTGAACGCGATCAAGTACATCGGTGCAGCGGTTGCATACGGCGCCGGCTCAACGCTGCTCGCCATCTCGATGTTGGCCTTCTCGTCGTCTTACGTATTCGTGTCCTTCTTCAAAATATTTCTCTTGGTGGTCCTGTTCGGACTCTGGCACGGACTGATCTTCTTGCCGGTTGTACTGAGCGTCATTGGGCCACGAAGTTTACGCTCGACACAGCGACAGCCGATGTCCGAGAAAGCCGCCATAGCCGACGACGAGAATTAAAGAACAAAGAAATTGCGGATAGTGCTCTTTCAGACATCCTCGTTCTTTATCAATAATATTTATTTTTGGTTCAATAAACATACAAAATTATTACACTATCCGTACTATTAATTCACACATTTATACAAAAATAATAATAATAATAATAATAATAATAGTAATACGTCGGATAATTTAAAAGCGATAGTATTTATAGATCTTTAGGTAATATATATATTAAGATAAAAAAATTATATATATATATATATATATATATATATAGATAATTATATATATATTTATATTTATATAAGAAATAGTAAACAAGTACAAAATAATGTAGCAAGGTTGATATAGATTTATTCTCAATTATCATCGATCGTCGGAAAGGAACATGACTATTATAAACGTAACGTAATCATGTTTTTTGTTGGATGCATTTAATCCTTTATGTATAATCGTAATTAATGTTTATGACGTAAAAATGAGCGGCGAGGGAGCGACCTTTGGATTGATTGGCGAGCTCCCTCCGCTGCCTCTCTCAGTCTTGCACAGTCCACAGACATTCGCTCGACCTTTCACACGCGACCCCGTCCTCTTTGTCCCTTCTTCCACTCGTTCCTTCCACCCCTCTCGATACCGTCGAATCACGGCCGATGGAACGACGTGCGAGAGGGGCCGGAGTACGCGTACGGGTCGAACAAGACGCAGATAGAGAGGCGGCAGGGACGTAGTAGGACACGTATTCGTACGCTCGCACACGCGTTGCCGGAAATACACACACACACACACACATACATACACACATTCTCTCCCTTTCTTTCTCTCCATCGGGGCACGCGCACGTTGTCCACACTCAAGCACACGACGGTAGTTAGACTGCCGGGGGGCAGCAAGCCACGCACGAACGATACGGCGATTACTTATTACACATCTCCTTAGTTAAGTCGAATTTTACAAATCGGGATCGTACATTCCATAATTGATGAGGAACCATCGATACAATCAATAATCGTAATCATAATAATATTCACTTAGCAAAATGTGCCGATCGGTAATTGTGGCGGATGACGCGTGATGTGAGCACAGTTAGTTTGCGTTTACGACGGGGTGTTTCGGGGTTATTCGAAGGGCGGAGGGGGGCCTGGGAATATCGAGCCTTCGGGAGGGACAGCGGGGAAGATCCGATCCGGTACACGGTATCGGGGCAGACACAGGGAAGAGGCGGGAGAGGAACTCGAAAACGACGATGACCGAGGGCGGGTGGAGCGAGGAAAGTCGCACGTCTGCTCGCCGGGGGTTTCGAGGTACACGCACTTAGGGGGTACACCGTGGGAAAGACACTCAGGGCAGACAGACACCGACATAGAGACTAGGCTACCGACTATATGTAATATCTATCTAAACGTGTAATTAGCGTACGCACCGCGTACACACACACACACCCGGTACGTCCGCACTCCGCTCCGCCTTTTTGCGTGAAATTCGACGGAGGGCGCGTCAGAGAAGCGTTCTCGCCAGTTTCGTTTTCTTCTTCTCTCATTTTCTTTTGTTACTCTCTTATCTCCCTCTCCTCCCCGACTCTTCTCTTTATTATCGTTTTATTATAATCAGCGATCGCGTCGTAGTCGTGTCTCCCTCTCTTTTCCTTCCTTTCTCTTTCTCCCTCTCTCTCTCTTTTTTTTTTATAGTAAACGCTATGTAGTCTTTATTACTCAAGCTTATGCCCAAAAATCTACCAGAGGCACTTTGGGTTTATTAGTACCATTTGAAGTCGGCGTGCGCGGGGGAGGGTACCGCACGCCCCGTCCTCCTGCGCGGAACAGCGGGCGAGCGACGTGAGAGAGCACGTGTCTTCACGTCTCATCCTCGAGAAAGCGTTAGTGTTGGTTGATTAATTGGCTGTCACCCGTCGTCGTCCCGTTAGTCGTGATCGTTTCTCGCCTCCTCTCCTTTCCGTCGCGGCTTCTTAGACGCGATTATTACCCTGTCTGGCGATGCCTTCGCCACCGCTCACCGTCGTCTTTCCCGTCTTCTGGCGACCTTCCACCCCGCCCTCCCCCAATTCCTCTTCCTCGTGAGCCTACCAACTCCGTACCCTTCTTCCCGCTCTTCCTTACCTTTCCACCACGGTCTTCCGATGTCTTTTTTTTGTTTTTGAGCAATAAATACTTTCTCCACGTATACACTTGTTCGCGCAACGGCTTACGCACGCTTCTCCTGATGAAGTCGGGAGCGAATACGTCACGATTGCGAGCCGTTACTCACCAGCTTGCGCGGTGAGATCGCGGTTACGACAGATGCCGAAGTGTACGAGACATCCGATATATATCACAACTGTAACGGAGGATTCGAGAAAGATGCAAGTGTTACACTTTCACCTATCGAGTAAGAGTACAATAGAGGGTGAGTGAGTATAATAAAATATTTACACACCGTGTACTTTCTATTCGATTTCTCTCACAACCGATCATGCCATGCAAGCCCCCCGTGAGAAGTGGCTCGCAATCGTGGACCACTCGACGCGTTCCCGACTTGGTCCGGAGAAAAAGAGAACGTGCGCGAACCGTTGTGCAGACGAGTGTACGACTGCACATTGAATTGACGCACAGGACACACGCACACGCGCATACACGTCGGGCATCATCGTCATTCGCGCTTACCAGCCAGCCGCACGCATTGACAGAACGCCACGTTGGATGAGGGCGAGAGAGCTGTATGACTACCCGAAGACGCCTCATCGCGCGTGAAACACTCGGCTTCGAATTCGATTGGCTTCCTCGTTCCCGAAAAGCACGCGAAGTCGCAGAGAGCCGGGAATCGTGCGAGCGTGCCGCGAGGAGCGAATTGTCGCACGCGGCCACTTGTGGTTCTGCGGTGTGATTTGGCGATTTGTGCGTATAGATACAAAGGGGGAACGATATAGTTCTTCCGAGAAAGACGCGCAGAAAATGCAGTCGTCCCGATCGCGGGCGACTTGATTTCTTTTTTCTTTTTTTCACTCGAGGCGCGGCGACCTTCCGGCGGCGATATGTCAGCACCCAGACGCGGAATTCCAAAAAAACGACGACACATGTACGCGCTTTCTGGGTACTGTGTGCAATGCTTTCGGCTCTCGACCACAGACAGAGACACACACACACGCGCGCACGCATTCGCTCACTCATCCACACTCACCCCATTCACTTCTCACATGCACACCAATATGGCTACATCCACAGAGTTAATGTTACGCTTTAATTAATGATTATCAATTCAATATCAATTCAATATCAATGTATTACAATCAGACAATACTCAACAGTGATCGTTATTCATTATATATTACAATAATTAAGAGTGACAACAACATGACGACGGAGGCGTTGAAGCATTACAAGGGGGCGAAGGGAAAAGGGAGGGGAAAGAGAGAGAAAGAGATCAAAAGGGTAGCATGAGATGAATCGGGAATCGGAAGATGAGGAAAGAGCGGGGGCTTCGATAGTGGACATGCTACAAATGGCGTATGAGGGATAAGAGAGAGAGAGAGAGAGAGAAAGAGAGGGGAAGATAGAAGATAGCGGACATATACGGATAAGGGAGGACGTGGGCGAAAGAGTGGGGGGNATGAATATGGAACAGCGACGATGACATCGGTGACGGATGCACGACAATAGGGGATGAACGATTAAATGGCGAAATGGAACGATGATTCGGAGACCAAGGAGGGGAAGCACGCACACTCAACACAACCGTCACATCGAGCTGGCCTCGCGCGCGGCCATAGTCCATAGATTAATTACCTATTAACTAGTACACAGTCTGTCTCCGTTGACGCGGATGACTTTCCTCCTCTCTCTTTCTCGCGAGCGTCTCGTGTAGGTATACGTAATACACCATGTAAATACGCGCGTGCGTGCGGTACGGCGTGGTATGCCGCGACAGCGACGAGTAATTAGAGTAGCGCTTTTAAGCGTGAGCGAGAATGAGACGCCGACTACGTCCCGTTTTGTGTGTACACGTGTGTGTGATAAGGTATGGCAAAACTCGGGGCGAGGATTGCCGGGGCCTACTGCTCGCACGCGCGCCTCTCCCTCGAATACTAGATATACGCACACGCACACAACAGGCATGCTTGCGCCGGTATAAAGTGTATATATGTACACATATACATACGACATACCATCCATATATATATATATATATATATATATA